TTGAATTATAATGGTTATGAGGTTTGTGTTGAATTAAGCACGTTTATGTGTTGAATTATAATGGTACATAAGGCCTATGTCTTGAAATAAAGTTGTGTTGAATTATAATGGTTATAAGCAGGTTTATGTGTTGAGTTATAATGGTATATAGCTTATGTGTTGAAATAAATGTTTGTGTTGAATTATAATGGTTATCAGAAGGTTTATGTGTTGAATTATAATGGTATATAAGGCCTATATGTGTTGAAATAAAGGCTTGTGTTGAAATATTATAAAGGCTTAATGGTTTGTGGTTCCATTTTATAAGTAAAAAATAAGACTTATGCCAACGTTTTTAACAAAAAAACGCTTCTTATAAAAAATGCACAATAGAAAACGATTATAACAAAAAAATGCTTCCTAAAAAAGTGCTTTTTAAAAAAACGCTTTTGAAAACATCCAATGATGTGTAGAAAAGAAAGCGCTTTCTAAGAAAAGCGCTGCCAAAAGTAGATCTAAGGCGCTGCCTAAAACATGAATAAAATATACATTAGAAAGCGATTTCCAAAGCGCTGCCAAAAGATAGTGAAAAGAGAGCGTTTTTCATGAAAAAGTGCTGCATAAAATCTGAAAAAACAATACATTAGGAAGCGCTTTCAAAAGCGCATCCTAAAGGGGGGGAAAAGAGAGCGCTTTTTATAAAAAAAAAAGTTGCCTAAAATCTAAAGAAAATATACATAAGAAAGTGCTTACAAAAGCACTGCCTAAAAGGGGAAAAGAGAGCATTTACCATGAAAAAGTTCTCTTTAAAGGTGAAATTAGAGAGCGCTTTTAAAAAGAAGCGCCGCCTAAAGGGGACCTTTAGCAGCGCTTTTGCCTTAAAAAAAACGATGCCTTTACCTACAGCAGTGCCACTTTAGGCACCGCTTTTAAGCGCTGCTAAAGGCAAAAATAAAGCACTTCTAAAAGTCTTTTATGGCATAGTGGTATTTATCCTCTACATCATCTTCCACAAGATTTAGATGACCAATCACAACACCAACTTGTGAAACAGGTTATGCATCTGTCCTGTTGAAACCAGCATCTCCAACAGCACTCAACCTGCTATTCTCCATTACATTTAAAAGCTAACAACACACAATCTTATTCCATCAATCTAACAATATTAACATACAAATTTCAATCATACATTTTACGATTTCGCTTCTTGCTACTGTCCCAACCAATTCACAACTTAATTATACCTATCAACAACTTACTATATTTTCAAATTTATATCATAATTTCTTCATTTGACACAATATTAAGTTAATTATAATTTATACAAAGTTCAAACATACTTTCAAATTCGTAATTTCTCATTTATTGTATATGCCACACTTTATTTACCTGACACTTTTTTGGTTACCTCTTCGTCACGATTGGCACCATCAGTGTTGCGGACTCCAATCAGTTCCACTGGATCTTCAGCAAATGATACTATCTTTGATGATTGACGTTTCTTCCTTTGAAACATTTCACTGTATGGTTCTGCGCCCAGCTCACGGAACTTATCATCGATTTCCTGTTTCTCTTTCAATCAGACCTCAACATTTCTACAAATCCATCATGATAATAAAAACATTATTAAATTAAAAATATTTACAATACGTCTATCAAACATTCCTACAACCGTTTAACACCAGAATCACTTTATTTCGTAGCTTATTCAAACATTATTTACCATGCATCTATATTATAAATGATTAATGTACCTGGCTCTCAACTTCTTCAGCTTTTCACCTTGAGTTTCTTCTTTGACTAACATCTCCACACTTACTTCAACACCTTCCATATTCCTATTTAATATCAAATAGTTATACTTTCAATTATTAACGCAATTTGTATCATTCCATTTCTTAAACAACGATTTTTTTTTTGTTTTTTGTTTCACAATATTTCCATATTTCCTACCTTTTTTTTAAGGGTTTACTTCACATGCATGTCTAAATATAATGCTTTTCTCACATTCCTTTCAAATTTCCTTTCGTCTCTTCCCGATTGGCTTCTTCGTCCAGATTTTCAACGCTTAGATCCATAATATCCTTCTTCCATAAATGTCTTTTACCTTTCCAACCATGTTTCCTACTACCAGAGACTTCCTCAATCATACGTTTCAGCGTTTCATCAATGTCGACCTTCTCTGTGAGCCTATTTTTACAACATCAGAATAACTTATCATTTTGTTTCAACAACATTATAATCAAACTACTTATAGTATTTATACATGCAATCCATAAAACTTACCCAGAATGACTACCGTTTCCTCTTTCTTGAGCCATTCTTCAAATCTTCTCAAACTGAAAATATCCGCTGAATAGGAAAAGCTAATACACCAACTTATATACATTATCTATTCTTGAGTCTCACTATTTAATTATTATTAACTTTTATTTTTCCCATGGACAAAACGATACATTTTTTAATAATAACTTATGTTTTATATATTAAACTTTTATATTTTTGTTGTTACATTTTTTATTTTACATATGTATTTAATTCTGTAGTTACAATTTTTTATTTATTTAAACTTCTATTTTTTTACTATAAATAACGGTTACTTATTCTATTTTTGTTTCACAAACAAAAATTTGCCTATATAGCCAAAATATTTAAACGTCATGTTATGTATTTATATATAAATGGTGAATTTTTTTCTTTCAAATTTTATTATAATATTGTCTATGCAATTTAACATTTATATATTTTATTTATTCACTTTTTATTTTATCTGCCAGCTTGTAAATATGGGCTTCAATATCATTAAAATTTCATACAAACTTAAAACTGGGTCTATTTAGTTTTTCACCCGGGCCAATCCAACAGACTGCAATTACATACTATTTCACTTTTCCTTTAACTTATTTTCACTACAACCTTTATCATCAGAACTGACTGCCAACAAATTTACAACAATCAAACAATGTTCAACAATGTCAAACTGTCGTCTCCCATCGGATAACTCTTTTCTTTTTTTAAACTATTGTTAATGTCTTACCTCTATTACGATTTCTGCTGCCTAGGGTAATAGAAGTTTAGTTCCTATTTTATGTTTATTTGACATGCATAAATTGAATCTTCTTTTCCTTTTTTAAACTATTGTTTTCAAATACTTAATAATCTTCATCCATGCAAATCTTCTAACAATGTCTTCCCAATTTTAGCTTCCATTTTGTTTTGTACACTTTAGAACGCATTAGGGTTTTACATTATATACTTTTTTTTCCAGTATTTACTTATTTGATGCTTTAAGGTTTACACTTTATAACAATTTTCAACTTACCACCTGAATCTGTGCTTTAACATTCTTCCAGTCTCTCTAACGATCGAACCTTAAGGGAGGCAAAATGGAAAGAAATTATGCTGCAACTTGATTATCTCGAGTACCAAGAGACACATGAGCTGAAGAAACAAAGGAATAAAATCATGTCGTTGGAAGAATTTCAATTATTACGTCAGAATGGAGAATCTTCTAATAAACCAATAACCATCGGAGGATACTTCTGGGTTTACCCGTGCATATATGTTTTTGTTTACATGTATCCTATTATTATTTTGTTGTTTTACATTAGACCTATTCTGGCTGAACAATCCAACCCTGTTTCTATGTCACCAGAAATATTTCATGTTGATAAAGATCTAAAGGGCAAGCGTCATGTTCAACTTAGACAAACCAAGCACAATCAAGCCACACTTGACTCACCTGCTCGATCCTCCCGCATAACGGTTTCATCTGATAGTGAACGGTACTTCTTTATATCACTTATTCAAAAAAATTGATATACAATACTTAAAATTTGTTTTTCTTTTTCATAGTTTTACTTTGTAATGTATGACTCCTTACTCTGTTATCTCATTTTAACTTAAATGTTTCTCAATAGTTCCGATGTGGATGCATGTGCTAAGATTTTTCGTGGGCGTCCTAAGTGGTTTGTTTGGAAGCAAAAGGTCAGGTCTGGCAAAACGGCAAGAAACAACGTGCTTGTAAGTCCCAAAAATTTCATTTATTAGCCACACTAATACATTTTTACATACATTTTGAATATTAATTCCACTTTTCTTTTTTCCTTTAGCAAATCCCCCACAGGATTATTATGGAATGTTGTTGATTTGGAGATAGAGGTATTAAATTATTTGATGCGGATAATCGAGAAGGTTATGACTGTGAACTTCACCACTCTGAAAGAAAATATGGTGTTGACGTGTTCATTGCCAAGGGATGGTATGACTTCGCCAAAAGGAAGCGTCTCAGAAAGGGTGATCGTCTTGCTTTGATTGTGAGGGATCCTCGTGGTGACACAGTTGTTGTCAAAGTTTTAAATCGTTGATGGCTTGTTTCAATAAATATTTTAATATTTTCTTTTTTTTTTAATGGAATGCTGCCCTAAACAACCTATGTTATTCATGCATCCATTTATTGACCAAAATATTTTGGTTCTTTTGGTACTGTTGTTTCATTGTAATTTAACTTGGTCACCTTATATTACATGTACTACCTTATGTAATGCTATATTTTATTTTGCATTTATCTTTTTCTGTTTATTTAACAGATATTATGTTCTCTAATTTTTTATTATTTACTTTATCCTTCCAACTAAACATCATTTTGTGTTTTTTTTACATTCTACTAACTCACTTCATTTGTCTTACATAAATAATATTTTTTTTCTGCTCCATTTCATTTTCAATTTTTTAATTTTTTTTCTCACAATCAATGTGCGTCCCATACTAGTATACGATAATTTCTAGTGATTTAGTTGTTATTTCAATGTATATAAAAAATCCTGTTTCAAAGTTATTGGATCAATACCAGTATCCGAGAAAATCACAACAACATCAAACAAATTTCATGAATAGGAGTCAAGTAATCAAGTCATTGTTTGTTAAAATAATAAGAATACAAATAAAAGAAGTTCAAATGCAGTTAGAAGTAGAGTTACGAAAGCTATAAACCCATGTACATTGTTAAAATATATTGTTGTTTACTTCTCTTTTGGGTCATAGTATAATATGTCTCTTCCATTCCGGGGTTGCAAAGGTCTAGCATTCTTTGTTGCATGCTGTCATAGAGTGGTCCACAAGTAAGTAATAACTATAAATCACTCATTTTGGCAATGCACAAAATTAGTGAAATAAATCAAATTAGAATACTTACATCCTGAACAGCCTTCCTAAGTAAACTCACTTGATCTTCAGACACAGTTCCTACCTGATGATCACCAAAGAATAAAGGTTCAATGATTTGTATTAACCAATGTAAAATAGTTTAACATATTCAATATATTTTGGATTTTAATGACCACCTTTTTATTAATAGTCCAAATGACACCTTCAGTGCAAGGAGGAACGGTGAGAGAGCCAACGTATTGGTAATATTCATCTCCTTCGCAAACGAATTCGGAGGGATTAATATCTCCAATATTCGTTTCTGATATATTATTCACCATGGCTTTTATGTGTTTTGACAACTGAAATTGTTGCAAGTATAAATAATTAATCAAATCAGTTTATTTAAATGTTCTAAGGTGAGTTTTTAGGTTTTCAAAATAAGGTTACCTTAGTCAGAATAGGATCAGATGGACCAAACTTATATAGAACCCCAAGAACAGCAGTCTCGGATTTCCCATTTACTATTGGACTTTCATGTACCATGTGTAGCTCCACCTCATACCTAATATATATTTCAGTCCAAAATTCAAATTCTAATACTAATAATTTATCATTAAGAAAATATTTTATTTGTTTCTTATTTTTCAAATTTATGTGAAATAACATTATCAATTAGATATTAACGTAGTAATGAAGAAAAAATACGAAGAAAACACAAACCTTGATCCATCGATGGTATGTTCCGAAGGTGAGTGCCAATGGGCTTGATGTAGAAAAAATTTTGTTCCATTGATTTTTATTGATCCTGCGTCTCCCAACCATTTCACCTGTGTCATTTATTCTAAATTTTTAGTAAAATACTATTAAGCTATCAACCAATAATATTAAAAAATAAATAAAATAAAACTTATTTGCTTATTCAATATTCATGAACTATACCTTACTTATTTATAAAGAGCAACCAGGGCTTGAAGTCAGAAAAAGAATTAATTACCTGAATATCATGACCTCTATTTTTGAGAATAGCATTCTTAGGCTTATAATTCTTCTCTATTCTCCCTAAATTTGGAACTATTTTTAAATTGTCATTTGTCATATCAATTGGAGATTGCATTTTTCCATTCTTACATGCGGCCCATTCCTTCTTCAATTCTCCCCAATATGGAGGACTCTTTTTACTCCCTTTTGTGTAATCAAATTCATGCTCATCCTCTTTTGTGTAATCAAATTCACGCTGATCATCTGCACAAATTTACATAGATATCAAATTACTTAAATCATACAACATAATATGAAATTAATGATGAGAAAATAAAAAATTGATCTATCTCACCAACTTCTTCTGCTATGGTCCATTTTGTTGAAACGAGAAGGATAGTTACTAGTATTAGAAATTTTGAAATGAACTTTTTGACTATATTGTTGTGTTTCATTTTGCTTTTGGACATGGAAAACTTGATGAATAATGGAAGAGGAAAACAAAAAGAGATAATTTATAAGAGCAAGGGTATTGGAGGATTAATGGTCAAAATGTCATGTGAATTATTATAGGAGAGATTATAGCATCTGCATTCTTGTTTTCAGTAGGAGGATTTATAGGAATTTGTAATTATTATCTCTTTTATTGGCTTAGCTTCCTCTGGTCAGAAAAAGTGAAATTTCCTATCCATTTTAATTTTATATTTAAGAGAAAATATTTGAAAATTCTGGCCAGTCCATGATGGATGTTCTAACAGAACTTATAACATCCACTGTGACATTTATTATAGACCTACTATTATGCAGTAATAACAACGCAGTAAATAACACAGTTAGTTGTTGACCCAGTTCAGTGCAACACACTTACATCTGGGGGCTACCAAGACAGGGAGAAATTTCACTATCAGCGGTATCAATTCAGAGTCAAACCTCGAGTTTGCACTCCTCACTTAATCACTACCCAATGACAATTTAACCTAGAGACACTCTAGACCTGAGTATACCCACTCACTCCCTACAATCACACACCAGTGATATCAAACAGTTACAAATTAACCAGTAGACTGAAGAGACACTTCAACTACACACACACACCTTGATCTTGCTTCAAAGCTTTGATCAAGTGACACGCACTCTTACTTAACAACTTCGAGTGATACACAACCTAGAAACTACCTAACCAATGCACACAACAGTTGCTTGGATTACAAGTGTTTCTAAGACACAATCGTGAAGGACAACTTCTTCACTTCTAAACCACTATGGTGATTTCTCTGTTTCTCTATCTTCAACAGCTGCCTTCTAGGATTGCTTCTCCTGGTAATTATAGCAGCAGATCAGTCCTTGGGCCTGGGCGCATACATTAGGTTTTATCCATCATAAAACCTCTCTTTTGTATTCTGCATGTTTGCCTCTTTAATCAGGTACATATTAGTTCCCCTAGGGCGTCTAAAATGTCTCCTGCATTCCAGCTTGAGCTTCTGAGTTGTTTCCTGAGTTATAGCTACCAGAATAACAAACTTCTGCTTGATGTCATACGAACTATGTCATAACATTGAGTATGACATCCATCATAACTTATAGTTAGCTTAGTTAACTTACCCTGCGCAGTCCATATTATGAATGTAATAACATCAAACATGACATTCATACATATACTCATATTTTGCCACAAAATGCAGCCAATCAAGAGCACTTACAAACTCCCCCTTTGGAAAATTTTTGGCTAAAACACTTTGTACTTACATCAGAGATTTCCTACACAGCAGAAGACTTAACAATGGTCCTGTCATGCAGGTAAGTCACTTGCTGCTCAAGCTCTCAGAATCCTCACAGTTGGCTTTCAACCCTGTTAACACTCACTTTGTTAACTCTCTGTAGTCTTCTACTACAGATGTCACCCTTTGCTTGTTTGAGTAACAGGGTTACTCCCCCTCAACTGATGCACTTATCAGCTGGGCACTATCCAGTCTGAAGTGGATGCTATAACATTCAGCATGACCTTCTAATGTCACACATTTGTGCTACTCCCCCTGCAGGGATGCATTCTTCTCCTTGCACAGAATTCCTAAGCATCTTGTTAGGATCACCCATGTTAGTACCTACAGCATGTCAGTCCTAGTTCTAACATACATGGCATACATATCAGCTGCACACTAATATCATAAACACACTAATATCATAAGCAATATGGTGCATATACTCAATCACAACCACTGCTCATGGCAGTCTTGTTCTTCCACCTGCATCTGTTGTACCTGTTGTTACCTATAACACTATCCCCCTTTTTAGCCACAAATTCAGATCCAACCAACACATAGTATAGACCATAAATTGTACCAATGCATAAGTATGGGATTACATTACAAAACTGCTCATAGAGAGCTTTACCAATTATTCATGTAAGAGCAAATAAAAATTTATCAGTCACACACTTCAGCACCAGCAGCAGTATGAGGTTCATACCCAATTCTCACTGTTCTTCGTCAGAGGAAGAGCTGGAGTCATTGCTATCCAAGTCATAGAGGGAGATGTCGTGGTTTCCATCATACGAGTCTTCTTCTGGAAGATCCTCATCTGGACCCCGGCGAGCCAGGGGCACGGTGAAGCCCTTAACAAGCAATCCTTTCCTGATAATGTTGTCAGCAATTTCCCCCATGGATTGATTCACGTAGGTTGTGCCTTCCCTGTTCAGAATGCTCCTCATTTCTTCTTCAGTGGGAGGGGGATACTTGCGGTTTGGTTTCTCAGTCGAGGGAGGTGGATCTTTGGTGAATTTGGGAGTGGATTTTGACGAAGATCCTTCATGATGCAAGGCCATGTTTTTGTCTAGCCTTTGGGTTTGGAAGATATGTTGAACGATACTAGGGGCAGAGAGGCACATTTGTACGGGATGGAGAGTTGTGTTGGTTAAAGACTTTGACTGCATTGATATCCTAAAACTCTCATGTGACATTAATTGCTATTCAACCTCATACATGCAAATACCCAACTACCCTCTAAGATTTTCAAACTGGGTAGCATCTAAAGCTTTTGTAAAAATGTTAGCTAGTTGTAGCTCAGTGGACACATGCTCCAAGGAAATGACTTTGTCTTCCACAACGTCTCTTATAAAGTGATGCCTTATATCAATGTGCTTGGTTCTGCTATGCTGGATAGGGTTCTTGGAAATGTTAATAGCACTAAGATTTTCACAATACAATGTCATGACATCTTGAGTGATATTGTATTCAGTTAACATTTGCTTCATCCAGACCAGCTGGGAACAGCTGCTGCCAGTTGCAATGTATTCAGCCTCCGCAGTGAATAGTGAAACACAATTTTGCTTCTTGCTGAACCAAGGTATTAGGTTGTTGCCTAAGAAGAAGCATCCACCAGATGTGCTTTTTCTATCATCCGCACTGCCAACCCAATCAGCATCACAGTGACCAGACAAAATAGAAGTACACCAATGAGAATAGAGTATGCCATAGTCACATGTTCCATTAACATATTTGAGAATCCTTTTCACTTGGTTCATGTGACTGACTTTAGGATCAGCTTGATATCTGGCACACACTCCAACAGCAAATACAATGTCTGGTCTGCTGGATGTTAGGTATAGTAGGCTTCCAATCATGCTTATGTATAGCCTTTGATCCACACTATTACCATTTTCATCTCTGGTCAACTTTAGATGAGTGGGGGCAGGTGTTCTCTTGTGACTGGCATTGTCCATTCCAAACTTTTTGACTATATTTTTGGTGTATTTGCTTTGAGAGAGGAAGATGGAGTCTTCCATTTGTTTGACTTGTAGCCCAAGAAAATATGTAAATTCTCCACACATGCTCATTTCAAATTCAGACTGCATGTGACTGAAAAATTACTTCAGCATCCTTTCTGATACTCCCCTAAACACTATGTCATCTACATAGATTTATGTTATCATAATTTCTCCACCTTCATTTTTCACAAACAGAGTTTTGTCAATTCCCCCTTTTTTGTATCCATTGGTGGTGAGAAATTCAGTGAGCCTTTCATACCATGCTCTAGGTGCCTGTTTCAATCCATACAAAGCCTTCCTTAGCTTGTAGACATGGTCTGTCAGGTTAGGGTCCTCAAATCCCTTGGGTTGTTCCACATATACTTCCTCACTTAGATATCCATTCAGAAAGGCACTCTTCACATCCATTTGAAAGAGTTTGAATTTCAGGATGCAAGCAATTCCTAACATCAGCCTGATAGACTCAAGCCTTGCAACTGGTGCAAAGGTTTCATCAAAATCAATTCCTTCAACTTGAGTGTATCCCTGTGCCACTAGTCTAGCTTTGTTTCTAACTATGATTCCTTCTTCATCTGACTTGTTCTTGTAGATCCACTTTGTTCCAATGATATTGGTCCCATCAGGCCTAGGAACCAGTTCCAATACCTCATTCCTCTTGAACTGTTCCAATTCATCTTGCATTGCCTTGATCCAGTATTCATCAGAGAGGGCTTCCTTTACATTTTTGGGTTCAACCTTGGACACAAAACAAGAGTTTGAAATGACATCTCTTGTTCTGGTCCTCACTCCACTATTGAGATCTCTAATGATCAGGTCTTTGGGATGATCTTTCAGAAGCCTAATAGAAGGTTCCTTGGTGGCTGTATCTCCTTCAGTACTTGGGCTTGCTTGGGAATCTTCAGTCTCCTCAGATGGAGTCTCAACCAATGTTTCCACATCCTCTATGACATTGACTTCATTAATCTGATCATCAATGACAACATTTATGGATTCCATTAATACTTTAGTTCTGGAGTTATATACTCTATAGGCTCTGTTGTTTGTAGAATATCCCAAGAATATTCCTTTATCACTTTTGGGATCCATTTTCCTTCTTTGTTCATAATCTGCCAAGATGTAGCATTTGCTACCAACCACATGAAAATACTTCACATTAGGCTTTCTTCCTTTCCACAATTCATAAAGAGTGGAGGATGTTCCCTTTCTTAGAGTTACCCTGTTGTGTACATAGCATTTTGTATTCATAGCTTCAGCTCAGAAGTGCATATGCAGCTTCTTTGCATGGATCATGGCTCTAGCAGATTCTTGAATGGTTCTGTTCTTCCTTTCAACTACTCCATTTTTCTGAGGGGTGATGGGCGAGGAAAATTCATGGCTTATGCCTTCAGCTGCACAGAAGTGAGCAAACTTAGAGTTTTTAAACTCCTTACCATGATCACTTTTGATCGTGATAACACACTCACTTTTTCTCTTTGAAGTTTGATACACAATTCTTGGAAGACTTCAAACACATCAGACTTTTCTCTGATAAATCTTATCCAGGTGAATCTGGAGTAATCATCAACCACCACATATGCATATCTTTTCCCACCAAGGCTTTCTATTTGCATTGGTCCCATCAGATCCATGTGTAGTAGTTCCAGACTTCTGGAGGTGGTTAGATGTCCAACTCTAAGATGAGAAGTCTTGGTTTGTTTGCCCACTTGA